GAAGAGGAGAAAACAGAGACACTGGTTGCTGACTTGCCCAGAATCACACAGTCATTGCTGTGGCCGGGACATTAACTCCAGCCTTCTAGGTCCCACCAAGCACTTCCATTGCAACTGCACTGAGGCCATCTCCACTTATGTGTCACAGACCCGAATTACCAAATACTCTGAACTGTAAGCCAGGCATTCATCTCCAAGACAAATTAACCTTTAAAATGAGCCTACCTTGGTAGCCATAAATCTAAGAACGAAGGCACATGTGATTGAGAAAGAGCATAAAGTGGTAACGTATAAAGACGTGGGACACTGATACCCCCTGAGTGGGGCTGCAGCCTGGTGCCACAAACCAACCCTCCCACTGAAGAGCTGTACCCCATAGCAAGGGCCAGGGTAGGTAAGACTGCAGCCCTCACATGCCATGGGAGCTAGGTGCTTCTGCCTGATGTGGGCCCATAGAGCTCCAGCCTGCCCCAGTCCACAATGATGAGAATGGGCCTCCAGGCCTTAGAGGGGCATAGGTTGGAAGCCTGGCTTTGCCCTTTCCTAACTGGGCTTCTTTTGGACCATGCCAGGATCTTCTGACCCCGTTCAAGAGAAAGCCAACCAACAGAATTCACCAAAGGCTCATCGGGGGGAGTCTCAGGTGGCTGACCGTGTAGAAGCTTTCACTAGCAAGACCCACACCCACAATGCTCCAGAGGATGAACACCCTGTGACAGCCCATGGACACAACCGCAGAGCCACCAAGTGCTCCTTGGGACACCGGTCAGGACACAGAGGTGCAGACAAGAAACATCTCTTCTTACTAGAATCAAAAAACTTGTTCCAGAGAGAGAGTTTTTGTTTTTGTTTTTGTTTTTTGCTTTTCTTTTTTTTTTAACCTTCTAGACAAACTGGTCCGGCCTAGTAACCCTTGATATTTAAAACTCCCTCCTTTCCTTCATTATCCAGTGTAGAAAAACAAACACCAGGCTTTTTTTCTCCCTCTGGAGCTCTCAGAAAACCAGCATGAAGCTGAGGGAGTCGACAGATTAGACACAATTTGCTGCTTACAATCAAAGCCCTAATTAGTTGATTTCATCAGAGACTGAAAGAGGATATTCGAAAGTATATTTTTTTAGAAGTATAGAGCTAAGACTGACTAAAATTCTTAAGGTGAATATACCAACCATACATCTGGGTGCTTTAGATTTAATAGGGAGAGCCTGTTAAGGCAAATCAGCAGCAGCACTGCCATCACCACACTGTCACCATCACTGTCACTATCACCATCATCACCATTATCATCGCTGCCAGCACCACCACACTGTCACCATCACCATTACTGCCATCACCACACTGTCACCATCACCATCACTGTCACTGCCATCACCACCATACTGTCACCATCACCATCACTGCCATCACAATATTGTCACCATCACTGTCACCATCACTGTCATCACCATCATCACTGCCATCACCACATTGTCACCATCACTACCACATTGTCCCCATCACCATCATTGTCACTGCCATCACCACCATACTGTCACCATCACCACCATCACCATCACTGCCATCACAATATTTTCACCATCACCATCATCATCACTGCCCTCAACATATCACCATCAGGATCACCAGCATCACTATCACCACACTGTCGCCGTCACCGTAATCATCACTGCCATCCCTACCAGCAGACCACACAGCCCGGAGCCTACGGTGTAAGCGAGGTCTGAGCAGAACGCAGCCGCACTCTTCAGCGTAGGCACTGTCTACAGAGTTGAATCGCTGCCGCAGAGGCCATGAGGCCTTCAAAGCCTCCATAGTTACTAACTGGCCTCTTAATGGAAAAGCAGGGTCCGATGGCTTCACAGCAATAAAATACGGCACTGTGAGGCTGACCGCATGCGAAGGTTCTGGGTGCACAGGGCATTTGTATGCCCATGCTCTGGTGCTCGCTGAAGGCTTGCAGTAGATGGTGGCATGAAGACCTGCTGAGAACATTGTCTCTCAGTCTGTCTGCCTGTATGTCTCTCATAAAGGCAGAAAAAAGAAGACATGTTTTAAAAAAGAGAAGTCCTAATCTGAGGTACATGGGAGGTGGTTTTTCAGTGGCCAGTTCTGGAATTAAGGGGTGGGGACTAAGATACAACACAAGAAATGACACTGAGTCACACTTGGTCCCATATGTGACCAGAAACTCAAGATTACCAAAATGTTTGAACCTTTTCTAATAATAATTTTAAAATTTTAAAAATTCAGCACTTTAGAAGATCATGTTGTCCACAATCATTTTGAGTAGCAGAAAACATGCTTTTCAAGTTTTTGTATTTGTTTTTTCCCATGATAAAATACCCTTGAAGTCTACTGGGGAAAATTAAGGAACATTTTTCCATCTAAGGCAGTAATTAAGAAGCAGATGTTGGCACAGATGTTTCCCCAGCCCCAGCAAAGTCTCCTGACTGCTTTTCTAATGCAGCTGAGCAGCCTCTCCCTGTACCCATAAAGTCACCCCGACGTCACCATGCCATGGTGCACCCATGGCCACTGCTACATACGAATGACATTGCTGAGCTTTCTATGAGGAGGAAGAGGACAGTAGCTCTGCAAGATTCCCTGAAACCTGGCTGAAATGCTACTCCAGTGCTACTCCGTCTGGCCTACACAGGGACCTATGCCAGCTACAGGGGAAACAGCAAGAGGTGGGCCCAAGGGTGAGGGAATGCTGGCAGGAAAAACAAGTGAAGCATGATAATGGCCTGGTCCTCTTGTGGGCATCTTACCCTGTTCATGTCTTGCAAAGGGCTGCAGAATGAAAAACACAAACTCTACCAGGGGATTATCAAGAGAAGGCTTGACTGGGTGAAGGATATCTGGGTTGGGTTTTGAAGGATACATAGGAGTTTTCCAAGGCAAAGACTCTAGGGAGGTTTAACAGCTAAAAATAAAGGACTGCAAAGTGACTGGAGGAGCTGGGCTGGTGAGCAGCCATGGAGAGGGCTGGGAAAGAACTTGGGTCTAGGGTACAGCTTGAGATTTCCCCCTGGAGGCCACAGAGAGCCAACAGGAGCAAAGCACTGCCTCGGATTAGACCAGATAATGCAGATATTTACACAACATGGGCCTGGGCTCTCAGCAGAGCCCCTCTGTGATCTTCCCTCCATTCCTCAAGGAGGAGGAGCCACACACCTTCCCACCCACCACTCAGCCGCTCAGTAGAGCATCCACATCTCACCACCCTCCAGACTCAAAGCCTTGAAATAAAGGAAAGAGAAGAATCCCGGAAAGAGGAGGCAGAGAAGACCTTCAATAATAATGTCCAGGTACGAATCCGACCTGGAGCTCCAAGGAAACTGGCACACCCCTTCCCCACTTGAGGCAGCACCTACACCCCTGCCACGTCCTGGGGACCGGACCCCTTCTCCCCCATTGTACTCCAGCAGCCTCCCCCTGCCGTCTTCAATCCTCCTCACTCTCCCTGCACTCCTAGGGGACCAGTCACTCTCCTGTTTCCTTCCCTACCTAGCCATGGTGCACACTGTGGGATGCTGCCCCGTCCCTGGCCTGGAGGGCAGAGGTCACATCCCATAAGCCTTCGGTGCTTCTCGAACACAACCATCTCCTGTGGTCCTTGGTTCTTAGAGTCGGTCTTACACAGGAGAGTGTATGCTTTATTTGATCTGTTCACACTGAGGTTCTACCACTGGGTATAGACCCAAAAGAACTAAAAGCAGGGTCTTAAACACACATGCATGTCCATGTTCATTGCACTGTTATTCACAATAGTCAAACGACAGATGCACCCGAGTGTTCGCTGGTACCTGAATAAGCTGAGTGTGGTATACACATCCGGGGATATTACTCAGCCTGAAAAGGAAGGAAAATCTGACCCATGCTAAAGACACTTACTGAGAGCAGTAAGCCAAACCCAAAAGGAATGAACACAGTGTGGTTCCACTTCTATGAGGTCTCTAGAGTCAAATTCAGAGAGAAGAATGGTGGGTGCTGGGGATGGGGAGGAGGCATGGGGAGTGAGTGTTTCATGGGGACGGAATTTTGGTCTTACAAAAGTTCTGGAAATGATCGAGGGTGAGGGTTGCACGATGCAAACGTACTTAATGACCCTGGACAAGGTACTTAATGGTTCAAATGGTAAATTTTGTGTTACGTATATTTTGCACTTTTTTAAAAAGTGCATCATGGCATATTTGGTACATGCAATGGCACAAGGCTTGCTTTTGTTATGTGACGGTGCCACAGATGTCTAGCAAGAGGACCACAACTCCCTGGGAGAGCTTCCCCAGGTCGTGACTCCAATCTGCCCCCTTCACGTCCCACGTAGCAACCCACTGCTGGGATTGGAACAAGACTCTGGAAGTCCTCAGAGCTGGCATTTTCCCTGTGGAGGTAGAACCAAGAGAACCTGTTTCCTTGGGCATGTTCTGGAAATGGAGCATGGCATTGGGCAGACCCAAGTCCTCAGCCCAGCTCTGACAGGTACCAACTGTGAGACCCGGTACTGCTCACCTGGCTTCCCTGGGGCTCTGCTGTCTCCATCCTACAATAAGCAACAGTTCCCACTGGAGCAGCAAGTGAAGATCCCCTGGGATGCCCCACCTGGCCTGCTG